TTCCTTTTTAAAACATTCGAAATTTTGATTAAAAAAAAAACAAACTTGTTTTTCTTGCATTAGCGGTTTTCTATGCTAAAAGTTAGTACAACTTTTAGCATAGAAAATTTTAGAATCTTTTTTGCGGTTACAGATACATTAATTTGAAAAATCTTGCAAAAATCAAATAATTGTCGGATTTTAATGAAATTTTAAGGACTTATTCACAAATGAATTAAATTATTACTGAAATTTTTATGAGTAAAAAAATTATTAGTAAAAATATTCTTTATTTTACAGGTGTTCCCCCCCACTTACTTAATTTTATGAAAGCTTGAGAAATTCATTCAGGTAATTTTTAGTGACTTAGTTAAAAGCAGAATTTTTTGAAGAATTTTTTGAAGAATTTAAATCACCGATATTTCTTTTTGCAAAATTGGACTCGGTCTTACCGAAAATCTGTTCTGAATCGAAAAATAAAAATGCAGTAGAACTAAGTCATTATTTAACTAGAGAAGTTTTTAATTGCTTTTATGAATAATATATATTAAAGACAACATTATATGAAAAAAAAATCGATGAAAAATCTTGTTTTCAGTTTTTACAATTTTTACAATTTAAAATTAAATAATTTATAAAGTTTTTAGATCTTTTAAAGTTCAATTTCATTGAAATAATTCTTAGGAAATATTGTTATTAACTATATTTACTAATCATATATTTTAGAGATTATTATAATCTGAAGACCCCGTCTATATTTAAAAGAATTTTGATTTGTTTTATATATGTATATAGATGCAGAATTTCTGAAGTATGGATGTACAAATCGATAAATCTATTCTTAAAAGGTCACGTGTTTTAAGGGTTGTCTCCCCCTTATGGGGGGGAAAACAAAACAAAACTTTAATGAAATATATCGTCTGCTAAAGTACACCATATTTAACTATGAACCCGTTCGACGGTCAATCCGTCGGCAATAAATCGATTAGCACGTGAGAAAAACAAGACACCGTAGTTAGGAATTGATTGTATACAACATTTTATGCTATAAGTAAGTAATATTTGTTTCAACTTAACTTTAAATTTTCTAATTTTGCTCAAATAAGTTTACAGAAATATATATTTTATTTTTGCAAGATTTTTAAAATGGAAAATTAAGTTTTGTTTACAAATATCTAAAAAATGGCTGACATTATCGATTTTACTAAAAAAATGCAAGTCTATTCCAATCAATATAATTACTGTCTGAAATACACCAAAGTATTTTGTTTATCGGATATAGTAAATTTAATCCGTTAGTTTTCATAAAGCTAAATTGAAAGCTCCAGGAAAGCTTTTTCATTTTAAAAAATTCATTTTAAACTTTACGTATACCCAATTCGTGGAGGTACCCATATTAAACATAATAAATCTACATACAGTCCACAAGCAAACAAAAATACAGACAGACATAGAGAACTACAAACGCTAAAACCAGATGATAACGTACGCATAAAATTCCAGGAAAATTGGAAAAGAAAAGGAAAAATAATAAACTTGACAAACTTCGTTCATATTTAGTAGTTACCGAAGAAGTTACATATATAAAGCATCACAGAAGACATCTTCTAAAAACAAAATCAACAAGAAACAGAATCAACAAGCCACACACCGAAAAAATTGACTATGAAAAAATATTAACAAAACAAATAAAAAACAAGAAAACTTAGTAAAAAATATAGCAACAGGATTACAAAATACCACAAGAAGAGGAAAGATAATAAAAGATATACAAGATATAAAATATGACAATAAGGTTTTCGGCATAATTTAAAAAACATTCTTTAAAAAAGACCGGAGATATATACTATCATTACGTTTTACTAACACTCACCATAAACACTCACTCCTACCTCCTAAAACATTAAGCAAAGATTTCATTTTCAATAAAGATTCCACATTGTTCAGACCTATTGTTTTTTTTACCTCATTGTTTTATATCGTTCTTATTTATTTGTTATTAACATGATAGTATAATACAAAATTTCAGACTTCGTTTTAGTAGTACAAATGTGCAGCTGACATTAGTTGTCTTACAATTTCAGTTTTCCCTTTTTTCTTTATAGAAATCAGTTTTTCATTTTTTTTTATTTGAGACTTTATTCCTTATAAGGCGGTATACTTTGATGCGTGTTCTTAACGCATATATCTATTTTACATTTAACGATTCAAGAAAAAACAACGAAACTCCACTTGTGGATCAACAAATAAATATATATTGAAACATAACATACAAAACAATCATGCAATGAAGTGTAATGATTTAAGGGAAAAAAAGTTGTTCCCCTTCAACTGTATTCTGATTTATGATTGAATGTTCGAAAGAGTTTCTCTTGAATGAGAATGTTCAGGATTCTATGTTGAATAGAGTTTGCTGTTAGAATAGAATAAAGTTAATTAAGAAATGTGTTATTTTGAGAAATTAATATCATGAACTTGGCTGAGTCACAGAGGGAGATATGTATAATGTGTTACAGAAATCTGCGTCTGTGTGTGCGTTTGAAATATTGTGAGTAAAGTCGTAGATTTGTGTAGACAGGCGAAATAGCTGGACGGCTTGTGGCAAAAATTGCTTCTTTTAAAAGTTACCGGTAGGCTCCAAGCGAAAACGCGGGAAAAATGATTTAGTATTAAAAGGTTTAATTGGTTAAAATTTGACCAATTACTGATTTTGTATCAAAGAAACATGTGAGTAAGTTCACGACCAAAAAATTCAAAGTGATGACTGCGATTGCTAAATTGTCTTATAGAAAAGCAGTATTGATTTACTAGCCAATCACTGACGAATAAATTGTGGGCGTGGAAAAGCATAGCAGTCGCTAAAATACAGTAGAAAAAGTTCTAACAGATAATCGCTGAAGATCAGGCAAACCCAGATGATGAAAAAAAGTACAGATGTTACTTTAAATCCAGTAAAATTAGAACATAAATGATGAAATTGTTGAACAATGATAAAATGAATTGCTATGACGGTATAAGAGAAAGGAGACTGGCGCTTCGAATACAAATTTCGACTGAAATTGTTTGCGTTCACTTTGTTAGTCTAAATGCCTTTGAAAAACATGAATTATTAAAAATGTCCTCCCTCTAAGTACCATTAAACCCAGCATTTATGCTTTCACATGTTGAAACGTTTCACCCAAGTAACCGCCGTTGTCTAGAGGAAAGCCATGAGGAACACAGTTAGGTATTCCAACAATTCGATTATTGAATTTATCACATATCACAACCATTTGCACCTCGTATGAGAATTGCTTCCCTTGAATTAGTTTTGTAAAGTAGTCTCCCCTTCAAAATTCCACGATATGACATGAATTTAAAAGTAAATATATAGCAAAACATATTTATTGAGATTACTGGAGCAAGGGGGTAATGGTGGAGCATTTTGAAAGGATTACGTTCATCAAGTTTATAAAATTGGCACATGACGTTTGCTAAATGCTTATTGATGACCAGATAAAATATGTTAGAGATGCCAATAAAATGTCAAAGATAAAAAAATATATGTAAAGAGAAAATGAGAAAGAGAAAAAGAGAGGAAAGGAGAACATTTTTTAAATAAGATTTCAAATAAAAAAAAATGCTAAATAAGAGAATCAAAAATATGAAACTAAAGGATGTTAAAATCTGAAAATGAAATGATTACATAAAATACGTACTGTGTGTGTGTGTGTGTGTGTGTGTGTGTGTGTGTGTGTGTGTGTGTGTAGATATTCTCAGATGAAGAAGAGATAAAATGAGTAAAAAAAAGAGATGAGAGAAAAAACTATACTTAGCCAAATATGGTTTTTCCTCTTATATATATATATATATATATATATATATATATATATATATATATATTTATCTATGAAATAGCATATATATTTATTTTCATCTACCGGCTTATATATAAGTAATAGATATACATTTATTTCCACACTAGTACACAACTCTGAGTTTCTTGTCCGAAGTACTCAGTGTGTGATACTTTATATATATATATATATATATATATATATATATAGGAAGAGAGAGAGAGCGAGATAATATTACTTGTTTTAGCCTTATATATATATATATATATATATATATATATATATATATATATATATATATTGGATTAATGTATAATTGGATTAAACCCCTGAAGATAAACCCTATATATATATATATATATATATATATATATATATATATATATATATATATATATATACATGCGTGTGTGTGAATGAAAAATGGCAAAAAACTTGTTCATTCTTGAGACTAATAAAGGCTTTATTGATGGAATCAGTTTTTCATATAAAATGAGTAAGCAAATGTTGGGATGGAGGAGAAATATAATAAACACCTATCGTATTTCTTTCATGTATTTATCGCCTTTGCTTTTATTTTAATCGTTGTTATTGTTGTTAATTATCTCACATTGTATGAACAGTAGTTTTGTGAAGAATGGAAACATGTCTGTTGTGGGACGTAAACTTAGACCCTTTCTAAATTAGTGTCATTTCAATGCATGTTCATCTTAAATTATTTCTCTTTTAAATAAATTGCACTTTTAAAGTTAAAATTATGCTTACTTATTAAAATAAACAACAAATGTATTGAGTATATTGTTTTGTAAAAGATATTGTTATGTTCATATATTTTTTATTTAATTTCCTATCTGTCTCACCAATGTATTTCATGGGACCTTTTTACAATCTATTTTGTAAATTCCTACTCCAGGTGGACACTGAAGTCAACACCAAGCTGCGACAGTTTGTTTAATGCTTGAACGCAACCTCTAGGCCACATATATTTAATTGTGGGCGTATGCATGTAAGACACTGTGTACAGAGGCGTATCAATATTTTAAATAATTTCGATTTAATAAATGTTTTGAATATGAATTTTTGTAATCACGCTGTCCTGCCTTTATTCCTGGCAATTATTAGTCTATAAAAAAGAAAATAAGGAAAGTGAAATAAAAAGTGGGAAATGGAATTGAGACTAAAAGACTAAGAGAAAACTTTCAGAGATAAACAAGCAGAAAATATACAGAGATTAAAAGTATGTGTATGGATTAAAAGAAGCAAAATGAGATAGATAGATAGATAGATAGATAGATAGATAGATAGATAGATAGTGAGCGGAGTGAGGGAGCGAAAGGGAATAAGAACGAAATATATTAAAAGCTGGAAATTAATGGCAAAGTAAAAAGTACATTTGGTAAAAACAATGACATGCGTAAGGGAATTAGAAATATTTGTTTATATGCATTTGTGTATGTGGCGTGGATGTGAGCATGCGTGTGGTTGTATTGTGCGTGTGTGTGTGTGTGAGAAAAAAGGAAGAATAAAAGATATTAAATGCATTCATGAGATATTTTTCAGTCGCTTGATGAAAAGGCGTTTCATTGAAAAGGCATTTCGTTTTGATTAAAATCGTTTTATGAAAAGTTGATTCGATGAAGTAGCGTTTTGATGATCCAACGAACAGTGCCTTTCTATGGAAAGTCATGGCATGCATTTTACTATTTGTTCGTATCAAATAACCTGTTGTTATTTATTCAATCTATATTGTTTGAAAATATCTTCGAGTTTACCTTTGCTTATTTTTACTTCCATTTTCAATCTTTAATGATACGAAGTGCTATTTTTTAAACGTTAAGATACGAATGGAGAAAATTTGTTTCCTTTGTATTATTGATTGAAGTAGACAGGTTTAACACTTTCGCCGCAGCCCCTCAACCTCCGACGTCTTACTCTCTGGGTTGAGGTGTCTACTCGGTCCTAACCGAACTTAAGGGAGTGACCGTAGGTCCCCTGAGCATCCGTAGATTATTCGATCGGTCCACTGGTTTAATCCATCTTCCTGCCCACGTTGTGTTTAGTTTGATCCAGAAAGCAGAAGTGATGTTCATTTATTCACGGTCGACTGAAGATGTAGACATGGCTGGAGAGTCTGCACTAAGAAATTAAGAATGCAGTAAAAAAAAATATCTGAAGAAAGATAAACAACTATTCAATGATTGAATTGTTAATGTCTTTTATATAGCAGAAAAGAATAGTATAGAAAAGAAACGGGTTACAGAAAAGAAAAGTAATTGATAATGCATACACTGGATTCTGTACAGAGAGAGTGTGTTATGACGATTTAACTTATTGTTAAATCGTCTCAGAACGATATGCGACTCTTGCGATGGGTGAATAAGATTTCAGTTCGCAGCTTAAAGTTTATAGTGCCGTTCCTCCTTAGCAGTAGTAACAGTAGTAGTAATATTTGTGGTAGCAGAAGCAGCGGTACTTATATCAACAGTACATGTTAGCGGACGCTTCGTTCCAATCTCTGACGTCACTTTCTCTCCTTCTTGAGTCTTCAACTCGACTCTCCACTGTCTCTAGCCCAACTCTTGCCCGGGCTAATTCTCTTCTGTCACTCTTTTCCCTCTGCCTCTTCCGTCTCAACACTCCCCGCCTGTGTTTTTCAGCATGACTACGCGTTTATATAGATAAACCAGGCTGGTTATGACTGACCCTTGTCCCTACCACTTTGCACGCGATTAGCACGGGGTTCTGGCTGCTTCAGCCAAAATCATGTGAATTCCAATGTTCCTTCTAACTTACTCAGCTCTATTTCAGTTTTTAATCGATAAAAATTATTTTGATCATTTCCAGTGTCTGCTAATGACCCAGATTCAATGGGTACAACTTCTGCCCTAGATCAGGTTTCACCATCAGCAAACAAAAATGCTCTGATCTAATTTCGCTGTTCAAATCCATTCCAATTTCATTAAAAAAATATACGTGTATGTGTGTGTGTGTGTATGTGTGTTTCCCAGACTCTCTCTGTCACACAGGAATTGTAAAAAAATTAAAATCAAAATGAGCGTTTTAAATTCATCGAAATTCACACGGTTCTGTTAGGGGAGATAATTCTTATTCATCTTTGTGTTACTTCCACTGAACCTGAGTATGTGACCTTTCAGCATTACCAGATTCAGGGTTTGAATAAAAGATTCGATTCAAAATTTCAAGAAAATTATTGAGTCCATAAACAGACACCTGAAGAAAGCCGGTGGGTACAACGACCGAAATGCTGTGAGTATAACAACTAAGATGAGTATCTTGGTCCGAATAGCGAAGACTATTGTAAGAATATCTTAAACATTTTGACATAAATTATGGCCACTTTAGCCATTTTTCTTTATTTCTCTTTGTAGAAAACAAAGGATTCCTGCAAAGATAATTTTCAAATACAAATAACACTATATCGAAATTGACGAAATCTTAGTGTTGACGAAATCTTAGTGTTGAATAAAATATAACATATGAGAACATTGGTTGTTGTGTTTTCAATAACGGCACAACGCTCACACTGCAAAAGCAACAATCAATCAATAAAACGAAAATGCGAAAAGATGACGAGTATCCAGTGTTTGTCTTTTCGCATTCACTTATTCAATTCGAGTAGAATGTGCCATAAACGACATATATTTTGAGTCCAAATTTTATTTAAATACTGTAGTGACTTTAATCGCAAGCTTTACTTGTCTTGAGCCAAAAAAAGAATTAACAAATGTATCAACCTGCATTAACAGAATATAAAATGCCATGAAACGAATTCATTGTTCACTTGAAAAGAAAAAATACTGCCAGATATATATCACTTTTTTGGGGGGACTAACACTTGGACATTCTATAAAGAATCAGATTCTAAAAACGGCTTTATTTTCTGCTTTGAAGCTGGCGCCAAAATTTATTAATTTCTAGAATGTGGAACAGTTTTCGAAAAACTAACTAATGCAAAAAATTATGCTTCATGTAAGAACACGAGAAAATGTAGAAAATGCAAAAGCAGAAAAAGACATCGAGATAAAAATGTTTCCTTTGCATTGTAACATGTACAAAGATATTTTTGTACGAGATTTTTGTACGAGATTTCGCAATCAGTTTCAGTGTTGCTTTTGAGAAGAGACGGGTCATGTTTTAAATACTGTAAAGATGTCTCTCCACTCAGTTTCTTGGTGTTATCCAGGAATAGAATGTGGCATCCACGTGTTAATTAATCAAGAAAATAAAGTAAGATGAGCAGAAACCAAAAATATAATTATTTAATATAAAAAATAAGAAACATAAAACAAAACAATTTGAATTTGAAGGAATGGATCCTTTCTGGAATGTAGAATTCTATACCCCATACAGAATTCCAGTAAAAACCGAACATCCAGCCATGGTTCACCCCTGAATGTGCTGCAGCCATAGATAATTGTAACCACTACTACAATAACTATAACAGGGAACGATGTAGTAAAATATTTGCTGCATTCAGAACTTGCCCGTAATCATTGCAAGAGAGTTCTAGAAAATACAAAGTGTAGTTATGCATAAGTAATTCAGGTCAAAGTTGAAAGCAAACAACTTAGTTCTGGAAAATGTCCAACCTAATTCTCAATGGAGGCAAAGTGTCAGTGCCTACTATGATAAATGACCCTGAGATCATATCATCCTCGTTAGATAAGGCAAAGATCTTCGCCACGATCTTTGCTTCTGCACGTTAAATGACAAATGCCTTCCCGATTTTCTTCGTCGGCCATTCCCTTCCCGACTTCTTCCGTCTCTCAGAGCACAATCTCAGTAATATTTTTTATCACAGCCCGGGAAGTTCCATGACTTATCAAAAGTCTTGACCTCAAGAAGGCTACCGGTCCATATAAATTCCCAGTGGTTGTCTTTACGAATATTAATACTGAGTTATTCCTGATCTTAGCAAATCTAAGAAAAAAACCCTCTCAAGTCTGTGAAAGAACGCTCATCTCCATCCCAATGTAGACCAATCAGTCTCCTGAGTGTTATTAGCAAGCCTTTTGAAGTTCTAATCAACAAGAAGGTTGTTGATCACCTCAATAGGGACACCTGTTGAGCCACAATCGGATCGGTCCACGGCTGATATTCTGCCATTACTCATAGAATCAGTGAGGCACTAGACAACAAATATATCCCAAGGTCGATCCTAGTAGATATATCGGCTTTTGACATGGCGTATCATAGGTGGCTGCTGTACAAGCTCTCTATGGAATCACTGAAAGAGTCATCTCAATTATCAAGTCCTTCCTAACATGAAGTTGTTAATAGGCTAATCCTCTGAGACCCAAGTGATCAACGTAAGCCCTCCCAAGGCTCGCTTCTCGGTTCAACTCTGTTTGCATAAATGATCTGCCAAAGAGTATATCAAAATCTTTTGTGAATATATATATATGCTGATGATACAACTTATGGGTGCACCTTCAAAACTCTAGATAACCAGAACTTGGTAACAAATCTCTTCTCTGACCTAGCTCTAACAGTTTAGTCAGGGAAAAACTGGTTGGCCAAATTCAAACACGTGATGTTCCATTACCATCGATCCTAAATCGCAATGAACGGGTGTTCTTTCAGGGATGTTGTATGCCTAGAGCGCCTATTGGGACAAGCTCAAACCAGTGGACTCTTACATATGATCCATAAGTAAGTGATGAATGATATTCCACACTAAAACTCATTTCCCACAGACGAAATGTCGCAAGCCACTCGCTGCTCTATCGCTATTTCCATGGAAAATGTTCAAATCAACTGCATTCCTTAGTTCCACCAGTTCTAAGCTTCACGTCTAAGAACCGCCATGCTACGCACATTGTAGCGTACCACATTCATTCTCCCTTCGTATTCATTTGTGAGATTAAGATCTACTCGAGGGTCTTCTTCTCGCGAACCACTGCTTTGTGGAACGGGCTCGCAAAAAGATGTTTCTCCGATCGCTACCATCTTAACCTGTCCAAGTTAGGGTTAACTGTTATTTTCACCACATATCTCCATAAACCCTCGATTGGTACTTGTGCCTTGTAATGGCTGAAAATGATTGAAAAAACAAAACAAAAAGAAAACAAAACAAAAAACAAACAAAAAGAAACTCCCCACCTTTGAAATTCAGATACTATTGTATTGTTTGCTAGTCAACAATTCCTTCTTCAGATGCCAAATTGAAGTTTCTCGTTCTTGTTACAGACGCATTTCGTTTCAATTTAAATACGAACAAAAAAATTGTCCACGGGCAATATATTTCTAGGGGTTAGTGGAAAACAAAATTTGTAACGAACAAATCACACGAAGAATTAGATTTAACAGTTGAATATTCAGATTTACGATAGCAAATGATACAATAGTTACAAACTTAGATGCACATATAAATCCATGTTGATAAGAGGAAATCATGAATTGTTATGAATCTGACACATTATATTGCATAGTATAATAAACAAAGTAAACGCATTTTGAAATTTATATAGACATTTTTTTCAGTACATCAGTAAATACTTAGCCTAAAGATGAAAGTATCATTTTACAAAATAATTATTAAATTTTTAACATCTTTCATTGCCAATACACTTAATCTTGTGAAAATTAATCATCTGCGACGAAGACAGTGCAAATTACAGATCAAATTTTATATTATTACATTTCAGGTCACTTACTTATTGATCCAACCATATATCTCGATTAGCTTTTTCTGGAACAAAGCCAGTTATACGCTAGTAATAATAGTTTGGGAGGACACTAACTTGCTATTATGAAGGGTGAATATATATATATATATATATATATATATATATATATATATATATATAAGAATAAAAGTGCATATTAAAAAGAAAAATCGAGAAGTATAAACAGTCAATTGCTTATACCCACCGACGAGTGGACGGAGTGATTCTCGGAGAGTCTGTTTACAAAACTCTGGGGTCATGATGCTGACGGTAACATCAGTTAGCTAAGTCACAAATCTTTTACTTGTATTAATTCTCTCTCACTCTCTCTCTCCATCTCCCATTCTCTCTCTCTCTCTCTCTCTCTCTATATATATATATATATATATATATATAGATAGATAGATAGATAAATAGTTGGAAGAAACAAATATTAGTACACGTAGGCATTTTTTAATTTATTGTATTTCCAACTAATGAATAAACATAATTTTCATATAATTAACTGTATACAGATGTATAATAACTAAATATGCATAGAAGACAGAAAAATTGATTTAATAGAAATAAATCACATTTATTCATTTCAATATTTGAAAAAATTATTCGTACAGTGCAAATTTCAGATTTTAAAACTTTTAAATTGCTTTAATACTCTAGATTGTTCAAGTGGAATATTCTAGAATGTTCCAATAATGTTATCAGTTATTATTTTTAGCCTAAAAATACAAACAGAACATTCTGTAATTGATATTTGTATCATATAGGTTATCATCATGGCAGGAGGTAAAAAATTGACAAATTCGCAAAAAGAACTGATTGTTAAGGTCTGGAAAGAAGGTAAAAGTTACAGAAATATCTTAAACAACCTGAATATTCCATTTACTACTATTAGTTCATTCATTGCAAGATATAAAAAACGCAAAACTCTTGTAAACCAAAGAACAGGTGCTCCACGGAAGTTCAACATCTCCGAGGAAATTAATGCGTCAAATTAAACAAAATCCAATGGTTACTCGTCAAGAGTTTCAGGATGATTTGCTTTCATCAGGAATATGTGTCACTAAACGTACAATAAGCAATAAAATTCATAGGAACAATCTAAAGTTACGATCCCTTCGGAAAACTCCACTGCTATTGAAAAGACACAGAGATGTCAGGTTGATATTCGTTCGTGGAAATAAGGACAAGGAAAAATCTTATTGGGAAAGAATATTATGGACAGAAGAAACCAAATTTGAGTTGTTTCGACGTAATTCTAGAAATCGTTTATGGAGTAAAGATGGCGATGCATTCAAACAAAAAAACAGAGTTCCAACAGTGAAATTAGGTGATGGCAGCATTATGGTTTGGGGATGTTTTTCTGCAAAAGGTACTGGCAACATATCAGTAAAGGATGGTAGAATGAATGCCACAGCATATCAAAATATTTTGGAAGCAAATTTAATGATTTCAGTTGAAAATCGTGAACTTTTTCCTGATTGGATCTTCCAAGATAATGACCCTAAGCACACTGCAAAATCTACAAAGAAATGGCTTGCTGAAAGTAATATAAATATCTTGAAGTGGACAAGTCAGTCCCCAAATTTAAACCCAATCAAGAATCTGTGGCGTTATTTGAAAATTCAAATCCAGTCGAGAGCTCCAACAAACATCCCGGATCTGAAGACTATATGCGAAGAAGAATGGAACTAAATATCAACTAAAATTTGCAAATCATTGAGAAGAGGTTGGTTGCTATAGAAGTGAATAATGGCTTTTCTACAAAATATTAAATGAAGATTATGTATTCTTTTTTGTATTGCACAAATACTTTTTTTGTCCATTAAAATAGATAAATGGGATTTATTTCTATTAAATCAATTTTTTCTATTTTTATACATATTTAGGTATTATACATCTGTGTACAGTTAATTATATGAAAAGCATGTTTATTCATTTGTAAAAATTTATATGTTTACATATATTTGTTTTCTCCCATTGTGCATATATATATATATATATATATATATATATATATATATATATATATATATATATATATATATCACTCTATCCAGATCTGTATGAGATTATCTTGTTCTTAATGTTGTTTAACTACCAGTAAAGTTCACGGAAGAATCTTACTGGGCGTTAATCTAAGAGAGTTATTATTATGAAAATAATTTACCATTTCTCGCTGAAGAATAGTTCTGAGAATTTTTTCTGTCATATTCTGTCGTTTTGGCCAGTTGCCAAAAGAGGCTAAATACTGCAACAATCTACATGATTGGCAAACTTCAGTAATTTTCTTTGATGATTTTTTATGGTTTTCTTTTGGGAAGATATATGATGAGATAACGTTTAAGCATGCTTCTCTAATTACAATGAGATAATTGATTGGATAGACACGACCTTCTGAAGAGACACTTTAACAGAGGCCGACAACCAAGATTTCAAGGAGTCACTATTAAGTCGATACTGCTGCAATTATTGTTGTTGTTGTTGCTGATGGTGGTGGTGGTGTTAACCTGCCAGCATTATAAACACCGTCACTATAACGATCATTATTACCACAAACACTATTATTAATATTTATCAAATCTAAGTAAATCACCAGTACCTTCCTCAGTAGCCTTGTCGAAATCTCGACAACCTTGGTATTTCTATTTCACTTGCTTTTTGCTTTTGCTTTGATGATCTCAAATGTACTCGACCTTAACCTTAGTTTCCAAGTTTTCCTGATGTGCTGGTATTTTAATATTTATATAACCTTCTTCTTCTTCTTCTTCTTCTTCTTCTTATTATTATTATTATTATTATTATTATTATTATCACCACAATGATTTTTTGTTTTCGAAATTGAAAGGTTCCTTTAACTGCTGTTCTCAAAAATATGACGAACACTTTTCTTAATTACATATTTTTACAGCTTTAAAGAATTTGCTTTATCCCATTATATTTAAATGCAGATCTAACTCTGTTTTCAAAAAACTATGGACAATGAGAAGATAAATGAGTTTTTTTTTTCTGATTTTGCATGATGTCAATGGTGAATTTGATTTTCACTATCAACTTGTATTTGGCTAATTGAATGTAATTTAGAGCAATAATCGAAAGAAAAAATATTTCTACTCTGATAAAATTTAAGAGCTGAAAAGAAAAATAGTTTTAGAGACGTCTTTGTCTTTTTAAGCAATAAAGAGAAGTGGGTAACATTTTTTAGACTTTTCAAATCAGCAACAAACAGTTAAAGCCTATGAAGTTTAAGTATAGATAAACAAATACTTGTCAAAAGATTTAAATTGTTTTAATTTGGTGAGAATCATTATTTTATAAAATATATTGGAAACTTGTAATTTGAAACCATTCAAAAAAACTTTTGCCACTGTTAAATGAACACTCCCAATATTTTAAAATATGCGGTGTTTTCACAACTCTTTTTGAATTCCCAGAAAGTTTTTCACTTTATGTTTCATACCAAACGCTAAAAATATTTTTTCCTCTAATTTGATTTCTGTATACGCTGGCTATCTGGAAAGTTAACGCATAAGAAACTTGATCTGCTCCAAATTGATATAGCTATTTAGTTGGTCAGCTGTTGGCGTACAATAATGTCTGTTATTTTTAATGGTTAGTGCCTAGAGTTTATACCATCAGAATAAAACCAAAAAGAATGGATAGAAAGAGAAATGCAGTCGAAAGAAAAGAATGGTAGTTTAAGAACAAAAAACGGAGAAAAAAGAAAAAGAAGCGGAAAAGAAAACCAAAATGGAGAAAAAGTAGAGGAAAATTAATAAAAATGAGAAAAATGCAGACGAGAAAAAGAAAAAGGATAAAATAGAGAGACAGAAAAATGAAAGAGGAATAGAGACTAAAAATAACGAAAAGATGAAGACAAAAGTATTGACCAGAAGGAAAAAAAAAGAAAGGGAGACGACGGAGAAAGAATAGATGAGGAATTATGGATGAAACGGTCAAGTCGAAAATAAGACAAAACAATTTAACTTTTATTCCGTAGTCGATTTAATTATGTGTTCATATGTACTTGGTTGATTTCAGTCAAACTAGCCAATAAAGAATAAAAACATGAATATTTCTTTTTACTGAAACACAGTATTTTGGTGTTTGTCAGAGGAAGAAGACATTTATCAACATACAAAATATTAATAAGAAAAGTTTAATTTTTGCTTTTAAAAAGCATTTTCTTAATTAATTATATAGATAAATCGTGACATGCAACTCATCACATTCAGAATCAAGCTCATTCAACGCGATTCCAAGCAAAGTGGCTCCATTCTGAAAGAGAATGTGTCTCAAATTGATGAGCTAAGAATCCGAGAAATGTCCCGGGAGTCTCTGAAGTAAAACATCTCTCAACATATGTTGAAATATCAAAAGCTAAAACAGTGAGTATGAAGAAGACGACGACGAGAAAGACAAAGAAGAAGAGAAAATACAGGAATGAAAAAACAAGAAACATTGAAGAAGAGCAAGAATACGAAGAAGAAAAACTTGAAAAAGAAAATATAGGAAAAAAGTTTGAAATATTTTGAAGGAAAGTAATCATGTACATGAGGCAAAAAAGACCATTCCAAAGAAGAAACCCGAGTAAAGAATTTATTTGCTAAATATTTTATTTAGCGAGTAATATTGGCCATTTCCTGGGTTTATTTTAGAGTCGCATAGAGAATAGAGGGTACCACTGGGTGCGGCACTTGCAGACAAACAAAAGTTCTGTGTTTCCGACAAAGATCAAATTGGTGACAAGAAAAATTTAGTGGTTTTATAGGCAAGAACACAAATCGTGCATTGAATATACAAAATGTGATATGGTGTTTCGTATTGTGCAGAAGAAATCTGTAAAAAGAAGTGAAGTGGACATTCGAATATGCTTAGGGTATAAGAAATGGATGTTATGTGTGATAGATGAACAAGTATAACGGGCAGAGAAGGAACTAAGTTATTAAACGGAAAAGGAAAGAACTAAAAGTAAAACTGAAAAAGAGACAATGAAAAAGAAAAAAAAAGCAAAGAAATTGAGTGAAAGAATAATGATAAAAAGAGGAGAAGAAAGAGAAACAAGTAAAAGTAGGAGACAAAAGAGTAGAATTCAAGTTTGAAATGAAGAAAAGAAAATATCTTTATATGTATGAGAAAGTGAGAGAGAGAGAAAAAAGAGAAAGAGAATGAAGAGAGAGAAATAGAGAGAAATAGAGAGAATGTTAGAGAATTGGAGAGAAAATCGGAAAAGCAATGAAAAGTAAAGGCGGGAGAAGCATGAGGGCACAGTGAAAATTGATTGGATAAAGAAAAGAGAAAAAAGAAAAATCTATATCATAAATAAAGAATTGATTCTCTGTCCGCCACATATTGTCAGCCTGTGACTGCGTGCGCGTATCTAATATATATGCATATGTGTGTATTGCGTATGAGCGACTTACATGTGCTATTCCTAATCAGTGTATGGTCATTGCACAAACACACGCATGCACACATACAATTTTGTTTGAAATAAGCTATTGGAAGAATACACTCCTTTCCCACTCAGTCTAGATAACTCTTACTCTGTGCTGAGCAACAAAATCATAAAACGAACTTATTTAACAACTTAATTTTCGCTAAACTGTTTGTCAGTCTATTCATATTTATTGGTACCTTAGAGCAAACAGTATAAAAGTGGCCATGAAGTCACTGTCCAGTTTATTATGACAATAATGTGAATTTATGTTGAACATTAAAAAAAATTAATAGCCATAAAAAAAAAAGAATTTCAGGTGAAAATGACAAAAGTGTAATGAGAGGAAAAATGGCATAAATCATTTTTCGAAGAAAAGTCCCTTAATTTTCGAATTCTCTTAATTTTCGAAGTCCCTTAATTTTTTAAACTTTAAAAAATAAATGATTACAAAATTTTGTTGAACCTTTCTGAAAGTATTCGGTAATAAATAAAATAAATTTTTATTATTTTTTAGAGATATTTTACATTTATTATTGATTTAAAGTATACATGCGCATACACATAAATGAATGAAATTTGTAACTCCTTCTGTATTTAAACTGAATATATGTTTCTAATAAATGGAGTATTTTAAATGGACAAACAATTTAGATTTGAAATTTAATAATCATAAGCAAAGTGACATGTATCCAACTAGTAAGAATTATTAATAAAGAAGAAGAAGAAGAAGAAGAAGAAGAAGAAGAAGAAGAAGAAGAAGAAAGGAAGTGAAAGTTTTAGTTGAGGAAAATTAAAGTAAATAAAAGTGAAAGTTTTGCGAAGATTTTAAAAAGGGTAAATTTCGTGAAGATAAAACGAAAGTTATTTTTTATTTGCAAAAGAGGGCAAAACGTAGAGATATTTGATGTGGGGAAGATTCAAGTGAAAATTTTAGAGGAGGTGAGGCAAAATTATAAGTGAGAAAATAGGATATTACGATTTTACTGCAGAAATTATGGATGATTGATGTGGCTAACTAGTTTCGTGTAAAAGCATTTAAATATCTAGAGAATTAGGGATAACATTTGAAATAGTAGACGTCATAGAAATTTTTCTTCGACGTGGTGCAATGGTTAGCATGCTTGTCTCGATAGATCAGTTACGATTTAGTAGTGAGTTCGATCCTCACTGGGAGCCCCATACTTACGGCCTTGTGCCACATCTAAGCTACGCTTAGAAAATCATCATATCATAGAAGTTTTGATGTCAGTGAAAATAACAAGAAATGAGCTGTAGATTTAAAGAAAAAATAAAGATACAAATAATAATAATAATAATAGTTAGGTATGCGCCATATTGGGTTGACGTATTGTTCATGTGTAGGAGTAATTGGAAAGCATAATGGCATGATGAAGAGTTTTTTTTTTTTAAATTTTGAAAGATAAGTCAGTTAGGGCGAGTTAGGAGCCACATTTAGATACATGGGGCAACCTGCTATCAGAAATTGTCTCAGCAGACTAGGTTACTCGACATGGTGGCATGTCTAAGTGGGATATACTTGCAAGGTTATGCGCTACTTTTATCAAAACCCGTCAACATATCGCGTTCATTTGGCTGTGATGCATGGACCTGGTGTAACTTTGTCAGACTGCGTGTCATGATGGACATAATGGCTTTCGTATATTTTTTTTCTCAGCGTCACTTTGTTAGCGTACTGTTCACTCGCTCAGTAATAATAATAATAATAATTGTTTTCAATTCGTTGTTAACTGGGACAAGAAATGGTTTGTTAATTTTAATGTCTCTAAAATGAAACTACTCTCTTTTAATCGTATACTAGAGCATTTTTGCCTTCTACCAGCATAGCTGATTCTAACCTCCAGGTGAGTGATTCTCGGTTTAACGTATTCCAACAGAATGAAGTTGAACGATTATATTGAATCAATTGCTATATCTGCTGCTAGGAAAGTTGGTTCATTGTCGTACAAGACAATTTTTCTCGCCAGAACTTATCTTCTACCATTATATGCCTACAATCTAGGTGCTTTTGTTATGTATCCAGAGATCCTTGACAGAATCCAAAAAAGAATCTGCAATATTATTGGTCCTGACTTATCATCTCGGCTTCAGTCACTATCATACCGCCGTAACGTAGCATCCCTGTTCTTTTTCTATAAATATTTTCATGATAATTGCTCTGATGAACTTTCCTCATTAGTGCCTCGACTTTACAAATTTAAGCATTGTACGAGATTGACAGCTATGCTTCTTCATTCGATTTTTGACTTTGCTAGATGTAACCATAAGAGTTCTATGCTAACAGTTTTTTTTCTCTTGTAGAATTCTTTTGCTTTCCTGTCAATTACGATCTTCAAAATTTTAAATGAATGTCAATTGTCATCTTCTCTCTCCTTGAATCTTGGCCTTTTAATACCCTCTCTTTCCTCAACATAGTTTTCTTAGTTTATTTCACTCTCAATAACCCCTTTGTGTCTTAGTGTCTTTATCGCCTTGCTTGGGGTGAAATAATTAAATAATAATAATAATAATAACAACAACAATAATAATAATAATAATAATAATAATAATGATAATCTGATCCATTAGTGGTTACGAAACCGCGAGTTGAAAACAAACTCTTCTGTGAACGATATGTTAGACTGAATTAAATAACTTCAAAGTGTCGTTTCTGAACACACGCTGAGAAGGCAATTGATTATCTAATAACTCGCTGCTCTACTTCCGCGCCCAATGGATAGTGTAGGGCAACACCTTCACTGGAAGATATGCTAAAATTATAACCTACTTCATTCATAAAAATTGGATGAGCAAAAACCCCAATAATTTGAGAAAGTGATGGTATTTGTTTACTCTTAGTTTTTACCAGACACACCGACCGCACTATATAAGCTAAGAGACAGGTATTTACATAAAAGACATGAAAGAATATAAATCCTATCTTATAGGCATGATCATAACGTCCGAAAATATAAGGATCTGGAAAAATAAATTACAATAAGGTGACATTTAAAGACAATCGTTATTTCAGTTGAAACGCTAGGAATGATTAAGAAAATCCTAGAATGGCTAAATATTTTTATTTGAAAATACACGATTGTGTTAATGGCTACTGCCTACATATTTAGAAAAAAATCTTGCAATAATTTCCTAACAAAAACAAAGCCTTAATTTAACTCAGGTATCAAGTAATTGACTTGGTAAAATAATGTTTCAAACGGCAAATCAAAAAGAAATAATAATAATAATAATAATAATAATAATAATAATAATAATAATAATAATAATAAGATAAATATCCAGAAACGATTGATCATCTTGTATCAGGTTGCACGATGTTGGCACCCACTGAATATAAAACATAAAGCATGACAGAGTGGGCCAATATCTGCACTGGAAAATCTGCAACTTCTACGAGAAGGAAACTGAAAGAAACTGGTATGAACACCACCCAGACCCGGTTACGGAGATAGGGCCTGTTACAATTCTATAGGGCTACACAATAAACACCGACAGAACAATCAAAGCCAACAGCCCAGATATTGTTATTAAAGACCACAAACAAATGTGCCTCCTTATTTAGGTACCTCCACGAGATCGCTAAAAAAATAGCATAGCATGATGAAAAAGACGCCAAACTTGACGAAAACAAAATTTTATCGTCTAAATGTTTATTATTAAGAGGAAAGGTCAAAGTATTTTGGGGGTATTTTTTTCCATTTTTTAATCGTTCCTAGCACGTCCGAAATTTTCGTTAAAAATCTAGTTTTTTTTTTGATTCAGCAAAATTGACCATTTTTTTCCATTTTAAAAAAAACTGGAAATCTGACTTTGAAATTTTTTTTAAATATCAATTATCATTTTTTCAAAACTTATTTTAAGAAAATCAGAAATTATAATGTTTATTTAAAATATTTTGAACCAAACTTAGCTTAGCTTTTGTGCCAAAAAGATGTAATTTGAAAATAAAACAAAGCAGGTCATAAACTTTCGCGTCTCTTGACATGTGATGAATGATATATTTACGAATTCCATGAGGCTAATTTGTTCTACGGAAGGAGAAAAGTGAAATAATTTACATTTACGTGAACAAATTATTTACCCCGTTATTTTTAACGAAAACTTTCAGCGGTCTAATTTTTTTTTTTTGTACTTGGCTTTCACCTTTTACGTTTATGATGCTTTATGGGAAATATATTGTAAAGAAATTAAAATAAAACTGTTAAGAGTGACATTAAATTTCATATTTCTTAAGAAAGGTATCTAATTAATTTATAGGTACCTTTCTTATGAAATTTTATCAGAATTGTACATAAAATACTATAATTTTATGTACATTTATTACATTCTACTGTTATTTGTATTTGCATTCATTTTATTATTAATTTTGATATTTCATTTATGGAAAAATGTCGTAACTGAGATTAATATAAAAATAAGATCATATAAATTTCATAAGATGATACTGATACTTGTAGGTACCCTTCTCAGTTGAAATTGAAAAATCAAATTAACTTCTCCACACGTGTTTCGCAAAAAAGTAAAGGCCTTAACAGCGGAGAACAATGCTTAACTCAAATAACGCAACTTAATTATATTCTGGTTGGTCTTCCGTATTTTATAATTACAGCTCGATTATAAGCACAAAATTACATTTCTTAATTACTGTGGATCTTCTGGTTAGTCAAAATGATACAATTTACAACGCGCTAAAAAAACATCTATCTCATAAGGACACTTATGAAAGCCGATGCGGCTTTTAACTAATTTTATAATATTTTCACAACTTAAATGTAAAATCTATTATAATTAATGAAATAACAAATAATTGTATTAAAAATTCATTTTCATCGAAAAAATTTTTTTTTTACTTT